TTAGGCGGCCGTGGTTTTCGTGAAAGCAGCGAGTGCCCCTCTCTCAGCATAAATACGTTCCTTTTACAGCCAATAACATCACTTCACCTTGCGATAGTGAATTCCAGCTCACTTCTAAAGATCGAGTCTTCGTTTTTCTTGGCACACTCTCTTGCTCCCACAATGCTTCCAACACATGACCGCGATAATGGCTTACTCTCGGACAGCCGCTGTGGTTGTGCTGCTGCACGCGGTGTGCCTCTCATCGCCGCATCGCCTCGTGGCAGGCCTCTTGTGGCCTCCCAATGAAGGCTCCCGACACAAGATGGCCGTCAACGCGCCTGGTGAGCGTTGTAACCAGTCTTCTGAGGGACTGACTGCAGTCATCTGTCTTGTTTGACTCACCTATGCCCATTCCATCTCCAACTGTTTTGAGAGTTTAATTTCCTCATTTCCTCCTCCTCCACTCCAGCCACATGCCCCGCCGGCGTGGTCTGCCCGACGGGAGCCTTCTACGTGATGGACAGCCGCGGCTTCCCCTATTGCAAGTGCCTCACAGGGTAGGGCATCATCAACGGCGCATGCTTTGGCAGAATGAGCTGAAAGACGGTCGTCACGAGCGTGGTGCTCTACAACGCCCCCTCCTTCGCCAACTCCCCCGCCACGCTCGCGTCGGCGGTGCTGCGCGCGCCAACACCCAACACGTCAGCCTGCACGGTGGCGCCAAAGGGGTTCAACGGCACGGTGGGGTCGCTGCGCATCCTGTGGAACATGAATGACGGCACGGCGGATCACCTCGTGTGCGGCCAGACTGTTTGAGCAAGCTCGCGTTGTGGGATAAGCCCGACTGCTCTGGGTCGGCGTCTGTGTTTGAGATTTCGGGCAAGTGGACTGGGGCGAGTGCCACCAAGTTCAACTACGCCACCACCAGCGTCAAGTGAGTGCCACAGGGACCACTGACTCCCTCACACGATGGCTTGTATTGCCTGCGTGGTCTACGTTGACCAAATTTTGAGACATTTCAAAATACCTTACATGCAAAGATCGTGACTCACTCACTCTGTGTGTGTGGGCTGGTGGCACGGATAGCAGGAAGGTAGCGGGCGTGGTGGCGACGGGCAGGTCGTTCTTGTGTCTAGCGGCCCTGAAGCCGCCCGTCACGGACCTCTGTGCCATGCCACGGCGGCATGCCCGCCCAACTCCAAGTGCGTCCTGAAGAACAGCACCTTCGCTCAGTCCGTGTGCGACTTTGGCACCACCATGGTCCCCGAGGGCTACTGCATTGGTGAGTCGTCGCCATGTCATTTCGTAGAGTGGAGTGGAGTGGAGTGGAGCTTGAAAAGAAATTCACGCAGAATCCCTGCTACACACGTGCATTGACTCATGATTTGCAGCCTTCCCCTCAATGAAGTCATCTTGCCCGAATCTCTCTCTCTCTCTCTCTCTCTCTCTCTCTCTCTCTCTCTCTCTCTCTCTCTCTCTCTCTCTCTCTCTCTCTCTCTCTCTCTCTCTCTCTCGAATGGCCCTTGCATTACTTTGAGGGGTGGTACAAAGGAAGGTGCAAGCATACAAGCGCCACAAACATCCAAACCGGCATCCTAACTACCTCCAGTCCTCTACCTACTCAGCCCCCCCTCTCCTGTCCGACCCTACTGGTCAAACGGGGCCTCAATCAACTGATGCAGCTGTCCCTCACTGAGAGGGATAGTGGGTCCTCTAAAGCCGAGCTCGTCCGCCGCCAAGGCCTCATTGGTCTTGGTGCGGAGGGCGTTGGCCTGCGCCCGCTGGAGGCACACGCTCCAGCGCTGGCGGTACTCCGTCAGCAGCTTCGCAGCTTCGTAGGAGGTAGGAGCTGCGTTAAAACGCAGCTTTGCCGCCAGCTCCGCGCACTGCCGCAGGTAAGCCATCACCCCTGGCGAGGGGTAGCCGTAAGTTTCCACTGCAAGCGCGTGGAACCCCACCCATGCGTTTCGCCGAGCGTACTTCTCCTCCTTTTTTGTTGCAGCCGCCCTAGCCGCCCATCCAGGGGCACGGTTGCAGTTCTCATCCTGGTATGACACCGGGTCCGTCACGGTCACGTCGCACATCCAAACTTCTCTCTCTCTCTCTCTCTCTCTCTCTCTCTCTCTCTCTCTCTCTCTCTCTCTCTCTCTCTCTCTCTCTCTCTCTCTCTCTCTCTCTCTCTCTCTCTCTCTCTCTCTCTCTCTCTCTCTCTCTCTCTCTCTCTCTCTCTCTCTCTCTCTCTCTCTCTCTCTCTCTCTCTCTCTCTCTCTCTCTCTCTCTCTCTCTCTCACTCGATCCCCCTCCCTCTTCCCCTGTCCAACGTCACATGCACGAGATGTCCTGTGCTTTCATTGGTCCGTTTCTGCACAGAATGGCTTCATGCATGCCCACTCCTGTTAACACCAATATGTTAACTCTTACTTTTCTTTTGTTGCAGATTCGTGCCAGGTCAAGCAGTGTGAAAAGGGTGGCAATTGTGTGATTCTATCCACGGCCAGCCATATTGTGATTGCAAGGATGGCTACGAGCAAGAGTTTGTAACAGGCTCATGCATTGGTATGTGTTTCCCTTTCCGCTTTTTCCATCTCCTCATACTCTTTTCCATACTCTCTCCCCATCCTCTCATCTCCTCCTTCCTCTCCATTCCTTCCCACCTCCCCTTTCCCCACTCTTGCTTGTTCTCCCACATATATCGCACGAACTATTACCTTTCCTCTTTCGAGAATTGCCGTCCCCCCTTCCCTCTGTGCACCAAGTCATCAATCTCTCTCTTCCTCAACCCCCATGGTGCCTACAGGGGAAGGGAAAGCCAGTGCAGGGACTGCAAGCAGTATACCTTTGGCATCTATGATCTGCCCTACCCTTACTGCCCACCGGATTACAACCAACACTCAGGTGCATGCCTGCCAGGTGGGTACAGTAGCTCTTACAGGCTATGCATATGCCCCATGTGATCAACAAAGTAGTAATTACTATGCGGTTGCTGCTTCACCATCGATTCAGGAGAGCATCTACTGTTTTGTTTTTGTGCCATCTTATCCTTTCTCTGCCTGATCTACTGTTTTGTTTTTGTCCAATCGTCCAATCACCTTGCCTCACCTAGCCTTGCCTCACCTTGCCTCATTGTCTCACCTCGCCTCACCGTGCCTGGCAGGAGTCCTGCCCAACGTGGCAGACGTGGCCATCAGCATCTAGAGCGTGCCCACCTTCGGTGGCACGGAACCACCTTACCTCTTCTGCCTCAAGCCCAACAAGTGTGTCACCATCCCACCGGACGTGATTGCCAGCAGCAAGTCGGTGGGGCTGCTGTTCCGAGCGCCGGGGTCGAGCGTGAGATGCCCCAAGGCAGAAGAGCGAATCGTAGATGACAATCAGAGAGTTTCTATCTCTATACCTTTCTCCCTCTCCTCCCTCTCCTCCCTCTCCTCCCTCTCCTCCCTCTCTTCCCTTCCTTCCCTCTCTTCCCTCTCTTCCCTCCTCCTCCCTCGCCTCCCTCTCCTCCCTCTCCTCCCTCTCCTCCCTCTCCTCCCTCTCCTCCCTCTCCTCCCTCTCCTCCCTCTCCTCCCTCTCCTCCCTCTCCTCCCTCTCCCACTTCCCCCTCTCATCCCTCTCTTCCTCCTTCCCTCCTGGCTGGACTTTTCCTTCAGGTCTGTGCTCCAACTTCCCTGTCTCTAGCCCTCAACGCTCACTATGTTTGCCAGCATTCCGCTCCGTATGTATGAACTCTCAAGTAATTGCTTTTCGCTTCTCTTTAATCTTCATTATGCATCGGGAACAACGGACTATGGAAGCCCTTATCTGTTCAGTGCCTTTTGTGGACTTGAGGCTCTGCCTGGGAAGACGTCAAACTTTAACATCTCACTCAAGTTTAACAAGTACTTCTTCGCTAGGAGTTCGGATTTCCCTCCCTGTTCCCCATCTTCCCTTCTCATTCTCCCTCCTTTCCCCTCCCTTACGGTACCACTCTCCGTTCCCTCTGTGTCAGAGGTCCACTGGTGATCCCCGATTGATCCTAGGGAAGGGTTACAGGCATGGCGGCCTGGGGGGTTATGGGCGCACTCACCCGCTACACAAACAAGCCCTTTTATCCCAGTGGTTAGTGGCTGGGATTCTGACATGGTATCAGAGCGAAGGTCTCGGGTTCGAATCTCGGTGTGTGCACCTCGGGCATCCTAGTGCGGGGGGGTGTCAGAGGTCCACTGGTGATCCCCGATTGATCCTAGGGAAGGGTTACAGGCATGGCGGCCTGGGGGGTTATGGGCGCACTCACCCGCTACACAAACAAGCCATTTTATCCCAGTGGTTAGTGGCTGGGATTCTGACACTCTGTCCTTACTCTCCCTTCCATTTCCTGTTGATAAGAGTACCTAGTATCGTTTCTTTCCGTTGTGGCAGAAGTAGTGTCGTATTAAATGACTATCCTGTCACAATTATGGTGAGCTGCTCGTCTGATCTGCTTAGTGGACCTGTTGTGCTTAACGAATCAGCTTATCTTAATAAAGTCAGCACCTGAAACTAAGGGAAGTTGTAATTTAGCAAAAAAAATCTATACCCTGCTCGTGACCAAAAACATTTTGAAGACCCTCCTGACCTGAGGCCGACTCAAATTCCAATTTCAGTTTTAGGGTCGAGTGTAGGCAATTACAGTACACAAGGACAACTACAGTATTGTGTGCTTGAGAGTGGTAGTGCACACAGTACACAAATATGGAATGAAGCCACACCGGGTTCAGGGTTTCGGGTTTTGAAACTTTGACTCAAGCGACGGCGAAAAGGCGTTGCCCAAGTGAGAGTACACAGGTGGCACCAAGACAGTCAGCCAGGCATGAGCGGCCATGAGATGGGAGGAGACGAGGTGAAAAGATAGAGAAAGAGGCGAGCTATGCCCGTGCGGCCATGAGGTGCGGAAGCAGGAGCACGAACTGCAGCGCGCCGAGTGGCAGGGAGAAGAGACAAGTTGTCACCCAGCAAGTAGTGGGAAAAGGGAAACTGCCGTGACACAGCCGGCACCAAGACAGCTAAGCACGCGCAGCCATGAGGTGCGCAGACACGAGCACGAACTGCAGTGCGCTGTGGGGCAGCGAGAAGGTGTCGCCCAGCGAGTAGTCGGAGAAGGCCGGGTCGAGCGGCACAAAGCGGCCCACCAGGCCCTGCGCTGCCACCAGGTCGTGCCACATGGCCAGGAAGTCAAGGAGAAGGGGGCGCGCATCTGGGAGGGACGAGGTTGGCAGGTATTCGATCTGATGGGGGAAGGTAGGGAGGGTGTGAGAAGTGGATGGGGATGGGAAAGTGGACAGATAAGAAGGATGAGACGTTATGATTGCGCTACCACAGGGTCGTGCCTGAGAGCCAGGAAGTTGAGGAGATGTGCGGGAGGGATGAGGTGGGCAGGTACTCTACCTGATGAGAGGGGGAAGATTGAGAAGGAGATGGGGAGCAGACAGGGAGCAGAGGGGAGGAGGTGAACAAACGGAGAGAGATAAATACGGGAGGAAGGATGTGGGAGGCATTGCACCTAATCAGGGGATATGGTTGTGGGAGTAGGCAGGGGGAGAAGTAGAGGTACTGAAGAAAGGAAGGGGAAGGGAAGGTTATGAGGAGAGGAGAAGCACGGAGATGAAGGTATGAAGCCACTTGCATATGAAGCTTTGAGCTGAGATCAATCACCCATCGCCTCACACACGCATTGCCCCTCACGAATTTGCAAATTCAGTTTTGGAAAGCCAAATGGGCCAAGTCGGATGACCAAGGAAGGGACACTATTTGCGGGCCAATAAAACGGTGCATGGGGTGGGAAAGACAATGTGTTTCACAACAAGAACAAAAAGTAAGGGCGTGAAAAGTGCATGTGAGCTGCCTCACCTCCCACAAAGCCCTATCTGTTCCCAATGCTTCACCTCCCCCCCCCATCACCATCCGTCTCCTCATTTCTCACCAACCCACAATGCCCCACTTACCATAACCCAAGTCCACCCATCTCCTCATCCCTCACCTCCGGACGATGTCTCATCTGTCGAAACCCATTATCACACACCTCCGCATCCCCTCACCTCCCCCCCATTGCCTCTCCTCCCCCCCATTGCCTCTCCTCCCCCCCATTGCCTCTCCTCCCCCCCATTGCCTCACCTCCCCCCCATAGCCTCTCCTCCCCCCCATTGCCTCTCCTCCCCCCCATTTCCTCACCTCCCCCCCATTGCCTCTCCTCCCCCCCATTGCCTCTCCTCCCCCCCATTGCCTCTCCTTCCCCCATTTCCTCACCTCCCCCCATTGCCTCTCCTCCCCCCCATTGCCTCACCTCCCCCCCATTGCCTCTCCTCCCCTCCATTGCCTCACCTCCCCCCCCATTGCCTCTCCTCCCCCCCATTGCCTCTCCTCCCCCCATTGCCTCTCCTCCCCCCCATTGCCTCACCTCCCCCCATTGCCTCTCCTCCCCCCCATTGCCTCACCTCCCCCCCATTGCCTCTCCTCCCCCCCATTGCCTCTCCTCCCCCCCATTGCCTCTCCTCCCCCCCATTGCCTCTCCTCCCCCCCATTGCTTCTCCTCCCCCCCATTGCCTCTCCTCCCCCCCATTGCCTCTCCTCCCCCCCATTGCCTCTCCTCCCGCCCATTGCCTCCCCCCATTGCCTCTCCTCCCCCCCATTGCCTCTCCTCCCGCCCATTGCCTCTCCTCCCCCCCATTGCCTCACCTCCCCCCCATTGCCTCACCACCACGATGCCTCACCTCCACCACGATGCCTCGCAGCGCCTCATTGGTGGAGAGAATGGCCCGCCCCAGGCGCATGGCAAAGTCCCCAATCAGATACTCGAAGCCCTGCAGGGAGGGGGAGGGGGGCAGGGAGAGGACGAGCGGTTTCTGAGCGAGTTTTGACGTGGCCCAGCCGCATGGCGAAGTCCCCTATCAGATACTCAAAGCCCTGCCCAGGCTGCGGCAGGGTGGGCGGGCGAGAGGAGAAGCGGGAGGACGAGCCGGAGAGAGGACGAGGGGGAGAGAGGACGAGGAGGGGGAGAGGGGGGGGAGAGGGGGGGGAACCAAGGGGAGGCCCTGACCTCATAGACGATGGAGAGGCAGTAGCAGCATAGCTGAAGCGTTTCCATGAGCGTCTGTGTGGTGCTCAGGATCCGCCTCAGGGTGGTTCATCTTCTGTCCATTAAAATCCAGAATCCACCTCACGCCCCCTCATGCAGCAAGGGGGAAAGGCTATGACCTCATAAACAATGGAGAGGCGGTGGCGGTAGAGCTGCAGCGTCTCCATGAGCGTCTGCACGGTGCTCTCCGCCTCCACCACCACGCGCTCCTGCCGCAGCACCAGGAAGTGCCGCCCCGCCACGTCAGCAAACGACACGCCGAACAGCTCCCGCGCTGCCGCCACGTCAGACTGGGACGACGGCGCCCCTGCTGTGTCTGGTGCGAGAAAGAGCAGAAGGGGGCGGCAGGAGCGGGCGGCAGAAGGGGGCGGCAGAAGGGGGCGGCAGAAGGGGGCGGCAGAAGGGGGCGGCAGAAGGGGGCGGTGGAAGGGGTTGGTGGAAGGGGGTGGTGAGGGGATGCAGTAGCACCGCCCATCCTTCAATCTTCATTACTCACCCCCCTATCTCTTGTTCGTCTCACCGCCTGTGTGTGGCCGCTACAGCAAGCAAATGCACTGGCAACCCCGTCCTCACATCACAGCAAGCTGGCTCTCACTCAATGGCCACCCCCCTCTGCCTTCCCTCCCGCCACTCCTCATCGCATGTGTTTGGCCAATACAGGGAGCAAGTGCATACAGGGAGCAAGTGCATACAGGGAGCAAGTGCATACAGGGAGCAAGTGCATACAGGGAGCAAGTGCATACAGGGAGCAAGTGCATACAGGGAGCAAGTGCATACAGGGAGCAAGTGCATACAGGGAGCAAGTGCATACAGGGAGCAAGTGCATACAGGGAGCAAGTGCATACAGGGAGCAAGTGCATACAGGGAGCAAGTGCATACAGGGAGCAAGTGCATACAGGGAGCAAGTGCATACAGGGAGCAAGTGCATACAGGGAGCAAGTGCATACAGGGAGCAAGTGCATACAGGGAGCAAGTGCATACAGGGAGCAAGTGCATACAGGGAGCAAGTGCATACAGGGAGCAAGTGCATACAGGGAGCAAGTGCATACAGGGAGCAAGTGCATACAGGGAGCAAGTGCATACAGGGAGCAAGTGCATACAGGGAGCAAGTGCATACAGGGAGCAAGTGCATACAGGGAGCAAGTGCATACAGGGAGCAAGTGCATACAGGGAGCAAGTGCATACAGGGAGCAAGTGCATACAGGGAGCAAGTGCATACAGGGAGCAAGTGCATACAGGGAGCAAGTGCATACAGGGAGCAAGTGCATACAGGGAGCAAGTGCATACAGGGAGCAAGTGCATACAGGGAGCAAGTGCATACAGGGAGCAAGTGCATACAGGGAGCAAGTGCATACAGGGAGCAAGTGCATACAGGGAGCAAGTGCATACAGGGAGCAAGAGCATACAGGGAGCAAGTGCATACAGGGAGCAAGTGCATACAGGGAGCAAGTGCATACAGGGAGCAAGTGCATACAGGGAGCAAGTGCATACAGGGAGCAAGTGCATACAGGGAGCAAGTGCATACAGGGAGCAAGTGCATACAGGGAGCAAGTGCATACAGGGAGCAAGTGCATACAGGGAGCAAGTGCATACAGGGAGCAAGTGCATACAGGGAGCAAGTGCATACAGGGAGCAAGTGCATACAGGGAGCAAGTGCATACAGGGAGCAAGTGCATACAGGGAGCAAGTGCATACAGGGAGCAAGTGCATACAGGGAGCAAGTGCATACAGGGAGCAAGTGCATACAGGGAGCAAGTGCATACAGGGAGCAAGTGCATACAGGGAGCAAGTGCATACAGGGAGCAAGTGCATACAGGGAGCAAGTGCATACAGGGAGCAAGTGCATACAGGGAGCAAGTGCATACAGGGAGCAAGTGCATACAGGGAGCAAGTGCATACAGGGAGCAAGTGCATACAGGGAGCAAGTGCATACAGGGAGCAAGTGCATACAGGGAGCAAGTGCATACAGGGAGCAAGTGCATACAGGGAGCAAGTGCATACAGGGAGCAAGTGCATACAGGGAGCAAGTGCATACAGGGAGCAAGTGCATACAGGGAGCAAGTGCATACAGGGAGCAGTGCACTGACAGCGAGTGCACTGACAGCGAGTGCACTGACAGCGGGTGCACTGACAGCGGGTGCACTGACAGCGAGTGCACTGACAGCGAGTGCACTGACAGCGAGTGCACTGACAGCGAGTGCACTGACAGCGAGTGCACTGACAGCGAGTGCACTGACAGCGAGTGCACTGACAGCGAGTGCACTGACAGCGAGTGCACTGACAGCGGGTGCACTGACAGCGGGTGCACTGACAGCGAGTGCACTGACAGCGAGTGCACTGACAGCGGGTGCACTGACAGCGGGTGCACTGACAGCGAGTGCACTGACAGCGAGTGCACTGACAGCGAGTGCACTGACAGCGAGTGCACTGACAGCGAGTGCACTGACAGCGAGTGCACTGACAGCGAGTGCACTGACAGCGAGTGCACTGACAGCGAGTGCACTGACAGCGGGTGCACTGACAGCGGGTGCACTGACAGCGAGTGCACTGACAGCGAGTGCACTGACAGCGAGTGCACTGACAGCGAGTGCACTGACAGCGAGTGCACTGACAGCGAGTGCACTGACAGCGAGTGCACTGACAGCGAGTGCACTGACAGCGAGTGCACTGACAGCGAGTGCACTGACAGCGAGTGCACTGACAGCGAGTGCACTGACAGCGAGTGCACTGACAGCGAGTGCACTGACAGCGAGTGCACTGACAGCGAGTGCACTGACAGCGAGTGCACTGACAGCGAGTGCACTGACAGCGAGTGCACTGACAGCGAATGCACTGACAGCGAGTGCACTGACAGCGAGTGCACTGACAGCGAGTGCACTGACAGTGAGTGCACTGACAGCGAGTGCACTGACAGCGAGTGCACTGACAGCGAGTGCACTGACAGCGAGTGCACTGACAGCGAGTGCACTGACAGCGAGTGCACTGACAGCGAGTGCACTGACAGCGAGTGCACTGACAGCGAGTGCACTGACAGCGAGTGCACTGACAGCGAGTGCACTGACAGCGAGTGTCCCTTCCTGACAGCGAGTGTCCCTTCCTGACAGCGAGTGTCCCTTCCTGACAGCAGGCAGGCTCTCGATGGCTTTGTCCCCTATCAGATACTCAAAGCCCTGTTCAGGGAGGGGGAGGGGGGCAGGGAGATGTCCTTCGTTCAGATCCCAACCGCCCTTTCCCCACCTCCGCCAAGCCCCTCCCTCCCTCCCCTCTCACCGCGTGTGTTGGGGCGGTACAGCGAGCACGTGCACTGCCAGCGCCCCTTTCTCACAGCGGGCAGGCTCTCAATGGCCTTGGCCACATCAGTGTAGGTCGCCAGGGACAGCAGCGACGACGATGAGGGCGGCGGGGCTGTGCTGCCGGGGGGCTGGGGGGGCGGCGAGGGCTGCCAGTGCAGCAACCTGTCAAGGGGTGGGGAAAGGGGGAGGGGGGGAGAGAAGGGGGGAGAAGAGAGGACGATGAGGGCGGCGGAGCTGGGGGGGCGGAGAGGGCTACCAGTGCAGCAGCCTGGGGTGACGGGGGAGGTGGGGAGGGAGGGGAAACAAGGGAAGAATAGGGTAAGGCGGATTGCGAAAGTGGAGGATTGGGGGACGAGGGTTGGGGCATGAGGGAGTGGGGAATGAGGGAGTGCGAGGGAGAGGAGAGGGGGGATGTATTGTTTTGACAGGGGTTTATGGGGCCTCTAATGCGTGATGAATGCGGGGCAAAGGTGACGAGTCTGTGGAGCTACGGACAGTCGTTGTGCGCGCGGTATGGCGTGCGCACAACGAGGGTGTGCGCGCAGGAAGACTGTGCGCGCAGGGAGGGTGGGCGAGCAGGGAGGGAGGGCGAGCAGGGAAGTTTTGCGCGCATGGAGGGTGCGCGCGCAGGGAGAGTGTGCGCGCAGGGGGGTTGGGAGTAGGGGGAGGCCAGGCGGACTCGGCAGGAACCCTGGCAGCACCCACCAAGTGACGCCCATGATGGAAGCGCCGCCCTCCCGTCCCCCGCGCGCCGACACAGCCACACGCGAGCTGCAACCAACTGACCGCGAACGCTTTTGGCGGTTTAACTAACGTTTGAACACCAAACCTACATCTTCAATCCGTCGAAAACTGGGCAGCAGGGACTTAGATTGATTTTCACAACCTCCTCTCAGCTACTTACGAGTTGCTCGGGAACTCATGTGAAAGCTACGTTTCTAAACGTATTTGTGGGGGAAGTTTCGTAGGTGGTAGAAATTGAAATTTACAACGATCATCCCACTTACCGCCTTGCTGTGGCTGGAAACTTATGGAGCAGGGCGTGTTCGGCGCCTCGATATTCCACCAATTCAAAGTTGGGGTTGTGACGAACACCCACATACGAACCTGTTCCCGAAGGTTCCGTGAAAACCTAAGTGAGAACACCAAGTTTGTTTCACTCCCAGCATCTTTGCTGACCTTGGCAGAAAACGTTTGCGAATCCGAGCGACACTTGTTGAGCATAAACGGGTCGCACAACGTTTTCCCGCCTCCTTATGCCCGGGACGACTGAGCTCACCACCACTTGCCAAAGTGCCCCAAAACATGCAAGGAATTCCCCAGGTGCAATCACCCAAAGCTGCCAGGGCTGAAACCCTAGGTTGCTAACCCACCAGACCTCCCACCGATGCTCACGCACTTTCGCAGATGCTTCTGAGGCTTCCCAGTATTCCTCACTAGGTGTATTGCTGACACGTGGCGTCTGCGAAGCGCGCTTCGGCCGGAACTCGTTTTTGCGCTTTTTTTCGAGCCCTGATTTTTTCTCAACGCGTTTGTTTTTTTTTTTTTTAGAAGGTGCGCTGGAATTAGAAGTCGTAGAAAAGGTTGATACTCGCTGAGAGAGGTTGTTTTGTCGTGTTTGCTTCTCGCTGAGTACATACAAGCGCTATCGTGTATCGCAACGCTGCTTAGCGGCATACATAGCCTATAACGAGTATCCGATGTGTCAGTTGGTCGATATTGACGGCCACGTGCCGTCGTCGTTCTGCAATCGAAGTCTGCATTAGTAGCACTGTAACGAGTCGCGATGTGTCAGGCGGTCAATCATGATGGCCACGTGTCGTCGTTCTGCTTGCGAATCTCCATTCGAGTGACTGCTATGAGATGGCAGCCTTCGCAGGTCTCCTAAACATCGCCCTGGCTTGATGATTCCCCTCCTCCCTCCCCCTCCCCCGTCCCGTTTTCCCCGTTACAGCATGTCTCGCTCGCTTCTCTTACAGCGGCTACAGGCGGTCGCCGAGCAGCAATCTCCGAGCCAGCCGCCCAGCAGACCGCCTGACCTGCCGGCGGAAGCCGCGCAAACGGCGGAGGCTGTCCGCCGCGCAGGCGGCCCCGCAGCAGCAACGGCGCAGCGAAGGGAAGCAGCCGCACCAGGGAAGGCTGTTGGGGGAGCTCGGGATGGGGAGGGGCGAGCGGAGGAGCGGCGCGGTGGTGGGCGGTTGGAGTCGGTTCTGGCCGCCAACCCCCTTGTCGCCCTGCCTGCCCCTCCCGTGCCCGCCCTCCCCCCTTATGCCTTTCCCTCCCCCATCCTCCACTCTTCCCCCTTTGGTCTCCCCGTCCCCCCCCTGCGCGCGAACACTTACGAGTCTGCTGTGCTGGGCAATGGCTTGACAGGCAGGGGCAGTGCCATGCTCGCAGGCACAGGCACGGGCACGGGCACGGGCACAGGCACGGGCATGGGCACAGGCACGGGGACAGGCACGGGCACGGGCACGGGCACGGGCACAGGCGCAGGCACGGGCACGGGCACAGGCACAGGCACGGGCACGGGCACAGGCACAGGCACGGGCACAGGGACAGGCAGGGATTTGCGTGAGCGGTGGGAGCAGGCATTGCAGAGCGGCAAGGGGCGGGCGATTTGGAGCAACGAGCAAACGACAGCGCTACTGGGGATCATTCGAGACGTGCTGCGCGCTGAGGGCTCCCCCTCCCTAGCAGGATCGAGGACTGGGGGGCGGTGCACCGCGAATGGTTGCGGCAAGGATTCCCCAGGTATTCGGAGGAGCAGCTGCGAATGCGGTGCAAAGTGGTTCGCGGGTGGGTGAAGGACATACAGGCCCTCCAGGAGCTGCTGCCGCCTGAAGCTGCCTGGGACCCCTCCACTCAGCGCTTTAGCCCCGACCCGAAGGTGAGAGAGGGCGAGGTGAGAGACCTCAAGATGCGCTGTAGCCTGTTGGCTGTTTTTTAGAGCTGACCACCCTCCCTTGCTTCCCCTGCCTCCCCTACCTCCTCCGCCTGCTCGGCCTTGGCACGCCAAAGACAACACTCCGTCTCCCTCCTGTCCCTCTGTTGCCTGTACCTTCCTTTTGTCACAACTTAGGCTTAGAACCGATGCATTAGTAGTGAGCTCAAGGCTCTTTAAGTACATCAGAAATGAGCAAGGTAGGGATGAAGAGGGAATCAGGGGCAATCCTAGGGAATCGAGGGTAATCCCAAGGCAATCTCCAATTGGTGGGTTGGAGATTGCTTGGAGATTACATTTGGGTTTGGTTGGGATGTAGTTGAACACCCAACCAAACACAAAGTGCAAACTACACTAACCTAGGATATAAAAGTACAAGTACAAATTGTGAGATTGAGGGCTAACATTAACAACCCCCTCATAGGCGTCAATTGATCTCATGGCAGAGAAGGTGGAGCGCAGAGCCCCATGGCGCCTAGAAGGCGATGGTGAGGAGCCTTCCCAAGGGGCTTGGTGAATAGATCAGCCAAGTTGCAGTCAGAAGGCACATACTCCACATTGAGCTGCTCTCGCTGGACAAGGTCACGGATGAAGAAGTGTCGGAGTTCGATGTGCTTGGTGCGAGTGTGGTACACGGGATCCTGGGAGAGGTGGATGGTGCTCTGGTTGTCACACCAGAGGGTGGGAGTGGGCTGAAAAAAGCCAAGCTCCTGGAGTAGGAAGCTGAGCCAGCGAGCCTCCTGAGCCGCCATGGTGCCAGCATAGAGCTCGGCTTCACAGGAGGAGAGGGAGACTGCAAACAACCGGGTGGAGCGCCAGCTGACAATCCCGCTCCCAAGGGTGAAGCAGTAGCCTTGGGAGGAGCGTCGGTCGGTCTGATCATGCGCCCAGGAGGAGTCTGTGTAATCTTCCAGTCGAGGAGGAGAAAGCCCACCTAGGGTGAGGACATGAGACTTGGTGCCCCGCAGATGGCGTTGCACCCGCTTTGCCGCTCTGCCATGAAGGTCTGTGAAGCGCCCAGGAACCACATAGCGAGAGAGGACACTGACAGGGTATACCAGGTCAGGCCGAGTGCACATCATGGCGTACATGAGGGACCCAACAAGCTCTGGGTACGGCTTGATGCATGCCTCTGGTGTGGGTACAGCTGGGGCGGTGAGGAGGTGTTGTAGTGGCAGTGGGGTGGCTATAGGTGTGCACAGCTCCATCTCAAACCGCTTGAGCACATTGTTGATGTAGAACTCCTGGGAAAGAGAGATAGTGTGAGCCTGGTGATCGCGAGTAATCTCCATCCAGGTAGTGTTTGAGGTCATCGATGTCTTTCATCAAGAGGACCTTGCTTAGGGCCTCCAGGATGAGGCCATCTGGGCCGAATCATTGGCAACAAGGATGAAGTCATCGACGTAGACAAGGATGTAGAATGGCTCAGAGTGGCGACGAATGAAGAGGGTTGGGTCGGCAGAGGATGGGTGAAAGTCCAGTAAGAGAAGGGCTTCTTTCACTTTGTTGTGCCATTCTCGAGGGGCTTGCTTGAGGCCATAGACAGCGCAATCAACTTCCAGACAGTGTTGGGGGGGAACTCTTCTGGAAAGCCTTCAGGTCGATCCTTGAGGCGTCCTTGCAGCAAAGCCAAAGAGGCGTCCATGGATTTGATCTAAAGTCTTCTCGTGCTGCACCATCCAAGAGCGTGCGAACAGTGGGTGGTTTGGATGTGGGGGAGAAGGTCTTGAAGAAATCCAGGTACTGCTAACAGGCGAATCCCTTGGCCACGTAACGCGCTCTGAACACCGGGGCCTCGTCCGGAAGCTGTTTCACTCGAAACAGCCACTTGCCACCAACAATGTTAACTCTTGGAGGTGGATTTTCATCGTCGAAGGAGTGGTTGCGAATGAAGGTTTCAATCTCAGCTTCCATGGCAGCACGCCATTCGGCAGCATGGGGACCCGAGAAAGCCTTTTGGACGGTGAGGGGAATGGGGATGGTCGGGTTCTCCGTGAAGTTGAGTGAGGGTGATTCAGTGATGTCGGGGAAGATGTGCGAGAGCTGGGGAATGACTGCGTGAAGATTTTGCAGCTCCTCATGCCTGTCTTCCAGAAGGGTAGAGGGCACATTTCCCCCGGCAGGAGGAGTCGGAGTGATTGCTGAGCATTGAATAGCCAGTGCCAGTGGAGGAGCAGGGCCATGAGAACGAGTGCCATGAGCCACCTGAGAAGAGGGTGGAGCAGGCGGTGTCGGAGGGGTTGATTTAGGAGGCTTGGGCAGGGGAATTGGCCGCCGCTGGTACGTGATTAGTTCGGGCGGCTCTGGGAGAGCGGGTTCCTGGGTGGAAGGGGAGACGGGGGGAGGAGGTGGGGCCGGAGGGTTCGACCACCGATGGTATGTGATTGGTGCGCTTGGAGGTGGCGGTGCAGTTGGCAGAGTGGGAGGTGAGGGGGATGGAGGAGCAGCTGCCGAAGACACCGGTGAGGCCGGGTCAGTGACCTCAGAGGGAGATGGTGCGATGGCAGGAGAGGGAGGAGGTGAGGGGGCCGATGCAGGCGGGACTTCAGGAGGCGCATCAAAGTCCGCCCACACAAGAGAGGGCGGATCGGAGGGGGGATTCCGTCCTGAGGTGGATTAGAATGGGCGGGTTTCATCAAAGACAACGTCGCGGTTCCGGACTAACAGTTGAGTGGAGGGGTTGAGGAAGAGGTAGTCAGGGGAGTCGGCGTTATGCCCAAGGTAGATGCACGTTTGAGTCTTGATGCCGGGTTTGCCGCCATGCTGCCGCCTAGCCTGAGGGTTGAGGAGGACATAGGCGGTGCACCCCCAGACGCGAAGAGAGCGAGTAGTGGGTGTTTTCCCGAGCCAGAGTGTGGTTAAAGTGGTGTCGGGAAGATGCGGGTGGAGGTAAAGGTTGCAGAGGAGGGCGGCATGGTAGAGGGCGTACCCAAAGAGAAAGAGAGTGGAGCATTGGAGGGGCTGAGGAGGCACTGAGTGATCTGCACTACGGTGTGGTTGCGGCTCTCTGCTATGCCGTTCTGCTGCGGGCTGTCAGGGAGGGTGAAGTTTTGCTGGATGCGTTTTGAGGAGCAGAAGGCTTTGAGCCTGTCGTTGCAAAATTCACCACCCCCATCCGAGTGAAGGCGTTTGACCTTGCAGTCAAAGGTGGTCCGTGCCTGAGTGATCCACGCCATGATGACCTCTGGAACTTTAGCCTTAAGTGTGGAGGAGGTGAACAGAGACGTAGCGGGAGTGGTCATCAACTATAGCAAGGAAGTAGCGATGGCCACCTCGTGCGGGACAGGGGCAGGGCCCCAGACGTCCATGTGCACTAGGTCCAGTGGTGCTGCTGCGACTGAGGGTGAGGCAGGGTGGTGTTGTTGGCGCAGTTTGCTCTTGGTGCAGTCAAGGCACGTGGGAGTGGGTGAGTCAGGTGGTGGAGGAAGTGAGGCTAGCAGGCCAAGAAGAAGTTTCTTGGAGGCCATGTCAGCAAGCGTGCGGAAGTTTGGGTGCCCGAGCCGATGGTGGTAGAGGATGGTCGGGTTGGAGAGGGTGCGACATGAGCATGGTGTTATTATAGCCTGTGCTTGGGTGGTTGACACCTGTCGGATGGGTACGCGCAGCGTATAGAGGCCGCTGTTATTGAGGGTGAAGTGAGCCAAGACCTTGTTGGTGAGTGGATCGATGATGTCGCAATAGTCCTCGTTCTCCAAGAAGATGGTGTGTAGCCCCGCCTCCCGAATTTCGGTTTGAGCCACTAGATTGTGGCGTAGTGAAGGCACGCACATGCCAGTGACAGTGCCAGACGGGAAGGCGGGGCACGGGACTGTGGATGTACCCTTGGCAAGAGTGGTGAAGCTTGAATCAGCTCCTAGGAGAGGAATGGGTGTTGCGTAGGGTTTGAAGGAGAGTGTCTCCTTGAGCACAGTGTGAGTGGCCCCGCTGTCGAGTGTGAACTCTATGTATTGTGGTGCTTGTGATGAGCCGATGTACTGGGAGGTTGCTTCATTAATCATGGCAGTGCCAGGGAACAACAGGTTGATACGCACATCAGCAGGAGCACTATCACTAGCACTAGCCGAAACGGGGTTGGCCTTACGAGGGCGCATCCAGTTTGGCGGCTTCTTGTCTACTCCGTGGAGGGCATACCATTCGTCGTCTTTCTTTTGAAGCACGTAGCACCACACACTTGTCCCTTGCGGTGCTATACTTGACGACGTAGGTGCACGGAGGGAAGCGGTTGTGCTGGAAGGGCGCCGAGGCGAGGGCCGATGTGACACTTGCTTGAGGCATGGGAGCACAGATGGTGTAGGCCTTGGCTTGAGCCGTGGAGTCTTTCTCGACAGAGAGGAGTGCGGTGGAGACCTTAGCAAAAGTGAGGTTTCCACTGACAGAGTGAGAAGCATCTTCCTCGTGACTTCATATGCCGAGGTGAGACCAACAAGAAAGGCGGCTGCAGGGGCTTGTCTGGGGAAGACAACACCCAGCTCCTTGAGTTCGCCATGAATGGTCTGCACCTTGGCAATGTAGTCGGGCATTTCCGAGCAATCCTCAAGACGGGCCTGTAACATGCTGGGGATGAGAATGGCAACTCCGATCGAAATCCGGCGGACCCGAATAACTAAAATCGTTAATGTCAGCCGCTTTGAAACCTCTTGTAGAGTGATTTTTACGGCCGCCAAGATTAGGTTAATTCGGCCGATTTTCGTACTACTAGCCCTATTCCCACACAACCCCCAGACACCACCCACAGCTTCGCGGCTACGCTGCTACACAGTTGCTCGGCTTCGCTGCTACGCTGCTGCTCAGCTTCGCTGCTACACGACCGCTCGGCCGCGCTGCTGCACGGCTGCTCGGCTGCGCAGCCGCTCCTGTTCAACTGCGAGAAGGGGTGGGGCGGCCGCTCCCGCGCAGCCGCTCCTGTTCGGTAGAAGTGCCGTTGCGGGGCGACGGGCGGCAGCCCGACTGTGACGATGCAGGGCGATGGGCGGCGGCCCGACAAGAAGATGCAGGGCGACGGGCGGCGGCCCGACGAGAAGCTGCAGGGCGACGGGCGGCGGCCCGACGAGAAGCTGCAGGGCGACGGGCGGCGGCCCGACGAGAAGCTGCAGGGCGACGGGCGGCGGCCCGACGAGGAGAAAAAATGACGCGATGATGCTTGACAAAAAAGTGCGATAGGTTACAGCGCCGACGATGCGCTTACCAGCAAATTGTAGACGCCGTCGAGAGTGACGGGAAAGTGGTGTGGGAGAATTTCCGCCCACGGATGTCGCGAATCATCGGCGACGAGATTGAAGGTGGCTACGTCGAGGTTTGCAGAACAAGGATCCGCAGAGATAAGAGGATCATGATCCGCGTGTGCGGTTTGCAGGCTTAGAACCGATGCATTAGTAGTGAGCTCAAAGCTCTTTAAGTACATCAGAGTTGAGCAAGGTACAGATGAGGAGGGAATCAGGGGCAATCATAGGGAATCGAGGGTAATCCCAAGGCAATCTCCAATTGGTGGGTTGGAGATTGCTTGGAGATTACATTTGGGTTTGGTTGGGATGTAGGTGTACACCCAACCAAACACAAAGTGCAAACTACACTAACATATGATATAAAAGGTACAAGTACAAATGTGAGAGGGCTAACATTAACACATTGCCCCCTTCCCCCGCTCTCTCCCCACCTTCCCACTTGCCTGCTGCAGCTGGGCATCATTTCGCGGCTGAAGCAGCACAAGCAGTGGAAGCACTACAGGCGGTGGTGCAAGCACACGGCGCCCTGGCTGCCCCTCGCTTTGCTCAACGCCCACACGTGCCCTGCTGCGGCCCCACTGTGGGACGAGGAGGAGGAATGGGAGGAGGAGGAGGATGAGGAGGATTGGGGAGAGGGGGAGGGAGGGGAGGATGATGGGGAAGAGGAGGAGGATGAAGTGGTGGAGGTGCGGGCAGGGGGGGAGGAGGATTGGGAGGCGGAGGAGGAGGAGGTTGAGGAGGTGGAGGGGGGAGGGGAGGAGGGATGGGGCAATGGAGAGCGATTGCGGCGTGTGGCAGGGAGGTATAGCCATGGATCAGGAAGGAATGTGCGGAGTCGGAGAGACAGAGGAGGGGTGGAGGCAGGGGAGGGTAGTGGAGAGCGGAGGAGGGGTGGAGAGTGGGATGGTGACGAGTGGTTGAGGACGAGGAGGGGGGATGCGGGGCGACAGGGAGGGCAGGGAGGGGGCTTGAGGAACAGAGAGAGACGAGAGGGTATGGAAGGGAGAGGGGTTGGGAATGGTGGGGTCGGGCCTGCACAGGGGAATGGTGGGTTCGACCATGCAGCTGCCGCACCACAGGCCAATGCCGTTCCTCGTGCTGAGGTGGCACGTAACAATGTCACTTTTGCTGACGGTGCTCGTCCTGCTGACGTGGCTCGTGCTGATACGGAACAGGCTGCTGACGTGGGTGGTGCAAGTGCGGATGAGAGGGACGAGTACCCTGCGAGGCTGGCAGCGCGGATCGCTGGCATGGTGGCGAGCAGGAGGGAGCAAGGCGGCACTGAGAGGCTCGGGGTTGACGGCGAGGGGGGAGGGGCCGGGGATGGAGGAGGAGGAAATGCTGGTGCACGGTGGAGGGTTGGGGTTTTAGAGGGGTGGAATAGAGGGGAGGAGAGGCGGGAAGGGGGGCGAGGGGAGGAGGGGAGAGCGGGGAGGGGTGTGAAGCGGTCGAGGCCAGTGTGGGTGCAGGTGAGGGAGAGGAAGCGGCAGCGGCGGGTGATGGAGAGTGTGGCGCGTGCCCTCACCACGTTCAGGAGCATGGCGGAGAAGGGGCAGCCCCACGTGCACCGAGGTAGGTGGTGCCACTCGTGTATAGAGTGTATGTGATGGCAGGCGTGCTCATGCACAGAGGTCTGTGGTGTGATGGGGTGGGATGTGATGCACTGCGGTGCTGTGCGTGGTGTGGTGTGGTGTCGTGTGGTGTGGTGTGGTGTCGTGTGGTATGGTGTGGTGTGGTGTGGTGTGGTGTGGTGTGGTATGGTGTGGGTGGCATGGTGTGGTGTGTGGTGTGGTGTGGTGGAAAGGCACATGTGCGCAGGAGTATGAGAAGGCACGACGCAAGCATGGCTGCCAGTGCGGATGCTATGAGGAAAATTTCAAAGTTGCAAGGGCTGAAAAATGAATGGCTAGATCGAGGGTTTAGGGCGTGAGACTTGATGACGAGCACGGCTGACAAGCACAAGGCATATGATGATCCACATTAACATAATATTTATTGACAACATCATACTCGTCCCCACAACTCCTTATTTTTGCCCCTTCATCCTACCTTCCTCATCGTGAGATGCGGCGGTGGCAGACAATGTGTTCGAGTCAGTGCAGGGTGCTCAGACCCTCCCTACGGGACATCTCCTGAATGACCCCTGTCCCAACCCCCCCCCCCTTCACCTGCAGACGTGGTGGTGGACAGTGTGTTTATGTCGATGCAGGGTGTGCAGGCCTCCCTACGGGACATCTCTTGACCCCTGTCCCAAATCCCCCCGTTCTTTTTCACCACCAGATGCGGTGGCGAACAGTATGTTCACAACACAACACCCCGTACGCTCCCATTTGCAGAGAGTTACTCTATATTGGTGGGAGCTAGACTTCGAGGAAGGCACGGGTGGTACGAGTGGTCGTAGCGTTTGCTTGTGTTCTCTCTACATGCGCATTCATTAAGCAGTTTGGCAAGAGTTCCACTAGCAAAAATTGGGTGCGCAATGATGGAATGGCAATGACAACAATGACTACATCAATAACCTAGCAACGTAGCACACTGGCAGGTTGGTTTCCTGCGCAGCATGGACGCGGCATACCAGCATTGCAAGGTGACACCGCACCAACACAGCTGGGAGGCAGCTTGTCAAAGTTGCAAGTCGGTGGTCTGCCACTATGTTACGAAAGACACAACCAGGACGCTGCGTCCTGCGTTTGGACGCAACGTCTGGACGCTAGGACGCAGGACGCGCGCCGAATTTTTTTTTTGGGCAGCCCGAAAAAAAATTCCGATCGCGATTTCGACATTTTCGATTTCGACGCGAATGTCGAAATCGCGAAATTTCGACCCCCCAGGGCCAATTCGCCATTCTAAACCAGCCCCCCTAGCATTTCATAACCATTCATGCAAATTGGAAAGTCTCTCAAACCTCTCAACCACTTCACATCTACGAAACCCAACCTTTGTTGCCCACCACCACCAAGTTGAAGTCGGCTGCCGACTTCCCGTCGTCAGCGGCTTGCAGTGGTCCCGCGGAAGTCGACTTCCTCGCCCAAGTCAGCATCGACCACTGACAGCAGCCAGGTGCACCTCTCGCGCACCCAACGGCGTAGTCAGCTTCGCCCAGTGAGGGTGGGGCCATTTCTTGTCAACACCATTACCCCCCCCTCCCTCACCCCCACCCCCCCACCAGACGCGGTAGCTGACAGTGTGTTCAAGTCCGTGCAGGACGTGCAGGCCCTCCCCTCGCTGACGGACGCGCAGCGCGTGGCGGCCATCGACGCCTTCCTGCAGCGCCCCCTCGACGCTCACGCCTTCCAGGCCATGAGCCCCGCCCTGCAGACCCTCTTCGCCCGCCGCGCCCACGCCCACGCCGTTGACCGCCAGCTCGCCGGGATTCAAGCTGCCGCTGCTGCTGGGGGGGGGAATGCGCCCCTCACAGACCAGCTCCTCGCCCCGCTGCAAGGCGGGGCTGGGGTGGGGCTGCAATGCATGCCTGGTGTGCCTGGTGTGCCTGGTGTGCCTGGTGTGGCTGGGGTGGCTGGTGTGACTGCGGGTGTTGGGGAGATGTTGGGGGGATCGGGGATAGGGGGATTGGGTGGGGGTGGGGGTATGGGGGGGATGGGCGCAGGGGGTGTGGGAATGGGGGGTAATGTCGTGGGGGCGATGGGGTTTGGGGCAACTGGGGCGGGGGGGATGGGAACAGCAGGGTTGGGAACTGCAGGGATGAGCATGGGGGGTACAGGGATGGGGGGAACTCTGGTGGGGGAAGCACGTATGGGGGGAGTAAGAATGGGTGTAACAGGAACTGGGGGAACTCGGATGGGGGAAACAGGAACGCGGGGAATGCGGATGGGGGAAACGGGTTTCGTTTGGAGGGGATTGGAGACGGTGGGGCAAACGGGAGCAGTGGGAGGTGGGGGTGTGGGTGTGAGTGTGGCAGCAGCAGCAGTAGCAGCAGCCTCAGCAGGAGGAGCGAGGGGTGTACAAGGTGTGGGAGGGGTAGGAGGAGGAAGAGGGGTTGGTGGGGGAGGAGGGGTAGGACGGACAGAGGGGCCAGGAGGAGCAGGTGGGATTAATAGTGCAGGTGGGTTGGGCGGCAGACAAGGGGCGGGCAGCGTGGCAGGGCTGCAGCAGCTAGGGCATCGCGTGGAGGAGTTGGTGCGAGAGAGCCTGAGAGGAGTCAACAACGCCAATCAACAGGCAGTCAATGCTGGTCAATGCTGGTCAAGGGGGTTGGCTGGCAACCCAGTGGTGGTCAATGGGATTCAATGCGAGTGCCCTGAGTGTGTGGCTGCTAGAATGCGTCAAGGCACAGTCAACGCGAGTCAAGCACTGGTCAACGCGGGTCAAGCAGCAGTCAACGCCAGTCCATCGGTGGTCAACGCAGATCCATGTAGGGGAGCATCAGCGAATCAGGTGGAGACAGCTGTCGGCCAGCCAGGGTTGGGTGCAGGTCGTGTGAGAGGACCTGCTGTGCTACAGACAAGAAATGCTGGTCAAGCACCAGTCAACGCTGGTCAAGCACCAGTCAACGCTGGTCAAGCACCAGTCAACGCGGGTTAAGCACCAGTCAACGCTGGTCAAGCACCAGTCAACGCTGGTCAAGCACCAGTCAACGCTGGTCAAGCACCAGTCAACGCTGGTCAAGCACCAGTCAACGCTGGTCAAGCACCAGTCAACGCTGGTCAAGCAGCAGTGACTGCAGGAGGAGGGGCAGTGGGTGTGGGTCAAGGCAGAGCGGATGTGGGAGCAGGGGGAGGAGGGGTTTGGAGGGAAGCAGCGATTGTGGGGCTGCCATTGGTGGAGCGGCTGCTGCAGGGCCGGGCGAAGCAACGGAGCGGTGCTGTGGCGAGGGGAGAGGGGGAGACCGGCAGGCAGGGAGAGGAGCAGCAAGGGGAGCAGGGAGGGGAGCAGGGAGGGGAACAGGGAGGGGAGGCGAGAGGGGAGCGGGGAGGGGAGGCGAGAGAGGGGCAGGGAGGGGGGCAGGGAGGGGATGAGAGGGTGGGGACGGTGAGTGTGGCGGGGGGCAGGGGCAGCGGAGGGGGGGTGTTCACGCTGTCGCACCGCTGTGTGGCGGACGGGCCGGCAGGGCAGTGCAGCCTGTGCAGTATCGTTGCTGACCTCGTCAAAGAGCTGGGGGGAGCCGCTGCTGGGGGAGGCGCTTCTGGGGGAGGCGCAGCTGGGGGAGGCGCTGCTGGGGGAGGCGCTGCTGGGGGAGGGGGCGCTGCTGTGGGAGGGGGCGCTGCTGGGGGAGGGGGTGCTGCTGGGGGAGGGGGCGCTGCTGGGGGAGGGGGTGCTGCTGACCTTTTCAAAGAGCTGGGGGCACCTGGCGATGGGTGGGGGCGGGGCAAGGAGCTGGGCGCACCTGGCGATGCGGCGCGTGGTGGGGGCGAGGTGGGGGATGATGGGAGAGAGGTGCGCACTGGGGGCGAGGTTGGGGGCACTGAGGGTGAGATGTCCGGTCCGAGAGGGGAGGAGGGCGGGAATGCTGTTGGAGGGGCGGACGGGGCAGTCGCGGTGGAGAGGGGTGTGGCGGGAAGGATGAGGGCAGAGGAGGGTGGGGAGGAAAGGGGCGGTGGAGGTGAAGAGGCAGTCAATGCAGGTGAAGGGGCGGTCAATGCAGGTGAAGGGGCGGTCAATGCAGGTCAAGGGGCGGTCAATGCAGGTCAAGGGGCGGTCAAGGCTGGTCAAGGGGCGGTCAATGCTGGTCAAGGGGCGGTCAATGCAGGTCAAGGGGCGGTCAATGCAGGTCAAGGGGCGGGTATGAATGGAGCAGAAGAGTTGAACCTTTCAGGCCGGAATGTGAGTGCTGGATGGGATATGCGTGAGGAGGAGGGGTTGAGTGAGGGGCCAGGAACTGTATGTGTGAGGGACGATGGAGTTATTGTGTTCGAGGGGGGAGATTTGAGTATGGGGGAGGGAGGCACTTCTGAGGGTGAAGGGGATGTGACTCTGAGGGAGGGGGATGTACCTATGGGGGAAGGGGATGTGACTCTGAGGGAGGGGGATGCGACTGTAAGCGGAGGGGATGCGACTGTGAGGGGAGGGGACTTAAGCAGTAAGGAGGGAGAGACACGTGGAAAGGAAGGAGATGTGAATGGGAAAGAGTGCGAGGCGAGTGGAAAGGAGGGAGAGACGAATGGAAAGGAGTGTGAGCCTAGTGGGAAGGAGGGAGAGACGAGTGGGAAGGAGGGGGGGACGAGTGGGCACGAGGGAGAGACATGTGGGAAGGAAGGAGAGTTGAGTCAGGAGGGAGAGGTGAGTGGGGAGGAAGAAGAGTTGAATGGGAAGGAGGGAGAGACAATTGGGGACGAGGGAGAGATGAGTGGGAAGGAGGGAGAGACGAATGGAAAGGAGGGAGAGACGAATGGAAAGGAGGGAGAGACGAATGGAAAGGAGGGAGAGACGAATGGAAAGGAGGGAGAGACGAGGGGGGAGGAAGGAGAGTCGAATGGGAATGAGGGAGAGACGAGTGGGAAGGAGGGGTTTGAAGCCTTGGGGAAAAGCAATGTGACTGCCATGTTAGGAGGGAAGTTCGGAGGCAAGAAAGGAGACAAGGAAGTAGAAAACGAAGGAGGGAAGGAGTGAGGCATGAGCGCGGGGGCAGGAGAGGTGCAAGTGGTTGCATTGGCAGGTCGTGAAGACCAGCCAGGTGTTGATGATGGTCAAGGGGGGGGATGATGCCGATGAGTCGGTGATGTAGCAATCAACGACTGCCAAGAACCCGTCATTGGTGGTGTTGAGGGTGCAAGGGCTAGCAGTGATCGTCAAATTCCAAGCGAGGGTCGACGTGTTCTCAGTGATGGTCAGGAGGGTTTAGGAGGTCGGTCAGGTCGAACAGAAGAGGAAGGGGGTGGGCAGGGTCCTCGTTATCAGATTTTTTTGTTTGTTTGTTTGTTTGTTTGTTTTTTTTTTTTTGTTAAGTTTCATTCGAATAACATGACAAACAGTTTAAACTCTTCTGATTGTAAACAAGCTCTTGCATTTTGTTTGAATCTGCAGACAGCGCGTATTTTTTCGTCTGATACCGTATTGACAACTTTTCCCACCTGGCCAGTTGCCCACCATATCCCGAGGAATCGCGCCACCTGAAATTGTTGTGCAACGTTCTGCCAGAGCCAAGTGTTAGAATACTAGCACAAGTGGTAGTTAGGTTTAGGGCCTAGGCTTAGTAGCCTAGGCCAAAGGGGAGTCGAGTGAGTTTGTGCCAAGACGAGAGAATGGGAATGATGTTCACTATAGCACTAGGGTACATATAGCAAACAGAGCATGCAAAGAAGGTGCACCACCAACAGTATATAATAACTACACTAAACTACAGCTACAAGCAGTTACAGATATATTCTAACACTCCCCCATAACTGCCTGCAGCAGGAGTTTGTGCAGAACACAACCTGCAGGGGTACACCAGCAACAGTAGCAGGCACGGTAACAGAGCAGGTACAGCAGCAAAGGGACAGGCGACAACAAGACACTCCTGCCACCCCCTTACTCTCCTCCCCCCCCCCGACCACAGGAGGGGCAGCAGGGAGAGAGAGGAGGCGGGCTGGCGCTGGCTGGTCACCCCTTCCATCCCCTCACCCTCCCCCTCCCCGTCCCCCCCACACTGCTGCAGGAGCAGCAGAGGGGGGAAGAGAGGAGAGGTGGAGGGACGGCTGCTGGTTGGTCTCACACCCGCCACCCCAGTGCCTCTCCCCCGGCTCCCCCACACCCTCACACCCTCCCCCCCAGCGGCAGCTGCAGCAGTGGGAACGAAAGGAGGAGGAGGGGAAGGGAAGCACACCACCCATCACCCCCACACCCGCCACCCCCATACCCTCCCCCCCACGGCTGCAGGGAGACGAAGGAGGAGGGGGTGGGCGGGGAGAAAGCCGCAGAGCGGCAACAGAGGGTCGGCGCGGGTAGGGCAGGGGCGGCTGCAGAGAGTGCAGGTGCGGGGTGAGGCAGAGGCGGCTGCACCGAGTGCAGGAGTGGGGGCGGCTGCTCCAAGGGCAGACGCTGGGTGGTGCAGGGGCGGCTGCAGCGAGTGCAGGCGCGGGTGAAGCAGGGGCACCGTTGCGGGCGCCAGGGGCGGGTCCGCGGCGGCTCAGGGCACCGTCGCGGGCGCCAGGGGCGGGTCCGCGGCGGCTCAGGGCACCGTCGCGGGCGCCAGGGGCGGGTCCGCGGCGGCTCAGGGCACCGTCGCGGGCGCCAGGGGCGGGTCCGCGGCGGCTCAGGGCACCGTCGCGGGCGCCAGGGGCGGGTCCGCGGCGGCTCAGGGCACCGTCGCGGGCGCCAGGGGCGGGTCCGCGGCGGCTCAGGGCACCGTCGCGGGCGCCAGGGGCGGGTCCGCGGCGGCTCAGGGCACCGTCGCGGGCGCCAGGGGCGGGTCCGCGGCGGCTCAGGGCACCGTCGCACACCACGGGGCACGTGACGGGCAGTTCAGGGCACCGTCGCGTGCCACGGGGCGCACGACGGGCAGGGCACCGTCGCTTGCCACTGGGCGCACGACGGGCAGGGCACCGTCGCGTGCCACGGGGCGCACGACGGGCAGGGCACCGTCGCGTGCCACGGGGCGTGCGACGGGCAGAAAAGATGTCACGCGCCACCCGGGCGCGGGACAGGACGAAAATCGCTACGCGCCCGAGGCGCGCGACCGGAAAAACTGTAGCGGAAGCGTAAGGCGGGCCCACAGGCCTGGACTTAACAGGCTCTGATTCCATGTCAGAATCCTAGCACAAGTGGTAGTTAGGTTTAGGGCCTAGGCTTAGTAGCCTAGGCCAAAGGGGAGTCGAGTGAGTTTGTGCCAAGACGAGAGAATGGGAATGATGTTCACTATAGCACTAGGGTACATATAGCAAACAGAGCATGCAAAGAAGGTGCACCACCAACAGTATATAATAACTACACTAAACTACAGCTACAAGCAGTTACAGATATATTCTAACACCAAGCAGGGCCCTAGATTCGTTTTGGGACACTCTAAACGCTGTCAGTCAGAGTTGCATCCAATTTTGAGTCTGGAAATTCAGACACCACTAGTTTTTTAAGGCAGAAAGTTCAGAGTTACATTCAAATTGAAGGCTGCTGACTTTTATACTTCACCAACGAAACATTTGAACTATCTGACTCAGATTCTGACACATGAGTACCGTAAGGCCCCGGATAGAAGCGCATGCCTATGATAAGCGCCGGCGCTTATAAAAGGATGAGGGCGCTTATATCCAGTCAGGGCCCAAAATTGGTTTAGGCCTACTCTTCCAAATCAGGGTACCAGGCCCTCCTTGAACAGACCCCTAGTGTTAGAATAGTAGGCTTAGGAGAAATTAGGTTTTAGGAAGAGAGAGGATGTTTGGCCAAGCAAGAAGGGGTTTGACTATGGAGAGAGTTACAAGAAATAGGGCAAGGGAAGGTGGCCAAGGGGGGTATACCACCAACAATGAAATAGATACTACACTAACTAAGCTAATATGCAGTTATACATAGAAATACAATTTCTGACATCCCCCCTTAACTGCATACAAGCATAGCTAGTGAGGGGCGCTCTACCCTAAGTGCAGACTTCACCGGGCCGCAGCTGGGCCCACCGATACAACACACGATGGAGTTTCCCGCCTGCGGTTTAACCCCCGCAGTGGATGCCTGGTGTGCGCGACTCTGGGTGACCACGCCCAGAAACGACGGAGAAAAGGAACGAACGACAAGAAAACATTACGAAAGTAGAAAACAGAAAAGAAGAGACCCTTTCTCTCTCTCTCTCTTTCGTCCCCCCTTAACCTCTCTCATCCCCCCTTAACCTCTCTCCTCTCCCCCCCCCTCCTCCTACTGCAACTAGTGCTGCAGGAAGAGAGGAAGAGAGAGGGGAGGGACGGGTTGCTGGAGGCTCACACCCGCCACCCCCACATCTCCCCTTCCCCCTCCCCCCCCCCCCACGACGGAAGCCGCGGAAGGGAGGCGGGGGGGTGGGGCGGCGGTAGCTGCTGCTGGCGCTGGCGCAGGCGCAGGCGCTGGCCGTTGCTCCTGCGCCTGGCGCCGACGTCCGCGCTGGCAGGGCACGCGCGGGGCGACGGGCAGAGCGCGCGCGGGGCAGCCGACGAAGCGCACGCGGGGCGACGGGCAGAGCGCGCGCGGGGCAGGGCGTCCGCGGGGCAGCCAACAAGGCGCACGCGGGGCCGCAGACGGGACGCGCGCAGGGCGACGGGCAGAGCGTCCGCGGGGCAGCCAACGGGGCGTCCGCGGGGCAGCCGACGTGGCACGTTCGGGGGGACGGGCAGGGCGCGCGTGACGGGCGAACGGGAAAAAAAAAATAGCGCATTTCGCGCTGTAGTACGGGCGGGCCCATGATTCTTAAAAATAAAATAGGTCCTAAGACCGTAGTGGCTCTGATAGCATGTTAGAATAGTAGGCTTAGGAGAAATTAGGTTTTAGGAAGAGAGAGGATGTTTGGCCAAGCAAGAAGGGGTTTGACTATGGAGAGAGTTACAAGAAATAGGGCAAGGGAAGGTGGCCAAGGGGGGTATACCACCAACAATGAAATAGATACTACACTAACTAAGCTAATATGCAGTTATACATAGAAATACAATTTCTGACACCTAGGGTAAAATTTTCCGTACCCTGTTTTCAGCAGGGTAAATCAACCACTAGACTGATTTGAGCAGGGTAGTTTTAGGGCTAGCCTGTTTTGATTACCGGCGACTTCACTATCGCGGTAAATTTTGTGGCGACTTCACTATCGCGTTCCAGACGGAAAAGGAATACGGTACGCATCGCGGGCCACGACGTGCGGTGCAATGGGAAGCAGCGCGGCGCGCTGCGGGAGACTCCTGCAGGGGGGGACGTTAAATGAGTTCATGTCGGGAATTGCGCGTCGAAAAGCATGCTCTTTGTGGAAATCGTGTGTCGAAAAGGTGGGAGTGCTTCAATTTGTTTTTTCGCTAACTCGCACTGTAACTACTTCCCCGTTACCACAGGTTCCGTCCTCGTCACGCAGTGCTTGAGGTCTCAATCAAGTGGCAGCGATGCACGAAAAGTGTCTGGTTTCTCGTTCCGTCAGCATACTCCGTAGGGCCATCTCTCACGCTATCTTCTCCTCTCCTCTCGCCCCGTGTGCGCCCCCGCAGTGCGGTGTTTGTGGGGGTGTGGTAAATTTTGACACCACACGGATTGTGGTCTGATTCGCGTTAGGAAAGTTTCGGTAAAAGGGTAGTGTACACCATACCCTGATTCCGTCAAGCTAACCTAAAAAACAATCAGGGTGAAATAAAACATGCTCTTTTAAGAGAAGGGTAACTATCTCGCATTCCTGATTTTGGCAGGGTAATCCTGAAAAAACGGCCGACCCCAGGGTAATTAGGGTGTTTTACCCTGATATTTTGGGCCCTGTATCCGGTCCTCGATTATAAGCACACCCCTGAAGGCTTACGGATTATAAGCGCCACCCTTTGTAATGTTTTCTTATATTTTTACTAGAAACGCTGTAACGAAACACAACTTTGCATTCCCACATTCAGAATTTCGAATCCCTTCATCCTCCCGCGACTCAGTGCCTTCGCGTCCAGTCAGAATGAGCTGTCATGGGGTCAATCTGACTCATTCTGACTGTGTGT